ATAAATAAATAAACAAATAAATAAATAAATAAATAAGCCTAATATTTACCTCTTTAGCAATAACTGCTCCTTTAAGTTTGATAAAAGACAATTGTTTAATTGCTTCGTCAACTGATAATCCTTTCACAAAGTTAGATATGGGCCACATCTTCTTCTACAAAATAAACAAACAAAATTAAATTGGATTTTAACTTTTTTTTGTAAATATAATAATTAATTTTTTTAAGGTAATCTCGTGAAAAGATTAATTTAATTGGATTTTTAAAAAGTTTTTCAATATAATTAAAATCACGTCATTTTCTACAAAATAAAAACTAAATTTACTTATATTTAAAAAATCTTTTCAAAATATCGATCTAATTTAATAACATTTAGGTTGAAATCTTTCTTCTTTGGTTATCTTTGTAGCAGAAGTCTCTTTGTTATTCAACAGTTTAAAAGCAAAATATCAAATCAAATCAAATCAAATTTCAGGGATATTCTACCAAATATTATCTCAGCAAGGTGACTAACCGCGGAATATTTAATGTTGTCTCTAACGTGACAGATATATGCAGGTCTGTATTCTCCTTAACAAAATTACAAAATCACAAAATTAAACAAAACTACAAAATTAGAAAATTAGAAAATAGAATAGAAGATAAATTATAAAAATACAAAAATTTAAATAATGATAAAATAAAAACAAAAGTTTTAGATTTTTGCATCCAAAAAACGGCATCCGATAACCTGATCGGGTCCAATTCTTTTGCGGCAACTCAAATGACCCATGGGAAGTTTATGGCTGGTCTAAATTAAAATATTTTTCCCGGAAAAAAATGTAGACATTTATTGTATAAAAAAAGCACTTATTTCAATTTGAGAGGTAAAAACTGGCGCATTTAAAGGTTAAAAAGTAAAAAAGGAGGCGCGGAAAAAATAAATTATATCAAAACGTTTTTAAAATTCATAGACTTTAAGATGCTGTTTGAAATAAATAGGCACGAAAAAACACTGTGTTGGTCAAAAATGTCTTTTTACTCTCATGTTTTTGGGACACCCTGTAAATACCTGTGGGTGGATGAACCCGCTCGTTATATGCCGGCCAACTTAGCTCCTTAGTCCCACCAGGCACCTGAATATATATTATTTATGAACCGGTTTATTATATACCAACTTACATCCTTAGCCCCACCAGGCACCTTAATATATATTATTTATGAACCGGTTTATTATATGCCGGTCAACTTTGTGCCTTAGTTCTACCAAGGCAATATTAATGAGAAACAATAATCGAAAATTATCAATTTTAAAAGAGAGATATAGACTAGAGATAGCTCTTTCAGTTTTTATCATGAAATCATTTTGAATCGGAAACTAAAAAAAGGAAGATTTCTTAAAAATACGAATACAGTCCTCGTTATGACACAAGTTTTTTCCCCAAACTATAATTTTCCAACCTCTATTTCTTTGTTATCTGATGGTGAACAACTTTGATTTGGCCTAACTGAATTTATGGTTTGTCCAACGGTTGGATATACGGATTAGAGAATCTGAGTTGGTGGAAAAAACTTAGTTCCTTTGCTTAAATTGTGCATAAAATAATCCATCTGTACAAGAGTAATTAAATAGATATTTAGAAAGATAGTTAGATACAAGGTTATAATGCAAGGAAAGTTAATTGCAGTTGCGCACTCTCTGCGTACATATTGAAGCCAGTTCTCTCTGGGCGGAATTTGTAAAAAAGAATAGATGCATCAGTGTTCGTTTAGTATCCGAGGAGGTTAAAAGCATTGAATTTTGAAAATTGTGATAGTTCACAAAATAGTTTCCTATGACCAGAATATTTTATTGATTTTTATGTGAAAGATGGATCCCATGTCAGGCTGTGACATCTATCTTGTGTTTACATTACCGCCCAGAGACAGTACACTGCAGTACAAAAGATGCGTACACCTCTGAAATAACTTTCCTTGCATTAGTACCTCGGTTAGATATATTGATAATTTACTTTATGTTTCTGGTCCCAAGCACCAAATCCTCTACCATATTCTTCTCCAAGTATCAAACTTGTTTTTAACCCTCGAACTAGATAGATAGATAGATAAAATGTAAATAATAATAAATCATAAAGGGACTGTATGCGTAATTTCAAGTGGCCTTACATACAAATATGTCAATGTATTTTTCCAACGTTTCCTTAATTTGATCAAAAAGTATTTATATCTGAGAGTTTCTCCATTGGTTCTTGTATAAAAGAAATGCGCAAGTCACTTTAGCAGAGAAACTGCAAATTAAAATAAAATTGATATTAAATTCATCCTTGATCAGACAAAGCTTTCAAGGGTGTTGTTGTAAATCAGGCATTGCCATCTTTGCATGGTGGGTCAGACTTCAAATTACGCTTACAGTCCCTTTAAGTTTGTGAATTAAATTTAATAAATGTCCCACACTCTAATAAAACAACAGCTTTACGAATATTTAAAATTGTTTTGACTAATAAATTATTATTCTGTTGTTTACCCTTCATTAAATTAATGAAAAGAATACATCAACTCACCAGGCAAATAATTAGTTATGCTTGACGGATTAATATTGTTCAAAACACATCGACGTAGCAAACATCCTAAAACCATTTTTTCTGAAAAATTATAAATTATAAAATTTAGATCGAAGTTTATGAACATGCAATAAAGCTGCGCTTCTTACATAAGACATAGGAATAATATTTTGCATTAAAATGTTAACAATATATCCATTATAGTAAAAAGTTCTAGATCAGCTATAACATAAAAGCTTCCAAACAAAATAATTGAATTATAAACAAGACATATTAATGAAATGGCGGGAAAATAAAAAAAATGGCGGGAGTAAACAAAATCCTAGGATTCTTCTTCAGGATGAATTTTGCGTGGATTTCTTCAATATTCATCGTCGGAGTTGGATTCAACATAAGACATAGCGGTAGCAGATCTTCGGGGCCTGAACAGGAACAATTAGGAATCGAGAAAACTCGTAAATTATTTTTTAATTTATAAAAAAATTGTTTTTATACCTTATCAACTCAGAACCTTCTCCTAGATTAGAATTTCGTTTCTTCTTTCCACTTTTCACCTCCGGCTCACCTTCCTCTTCTCCTCCCTTCCTTCTCTTCTTCTCCCCTTCCAGATTAGCTGGTTTCCTTCCCTTCTTCTTACCCTTCCCCTCCTTCTCCTCTATACACCAGGTCTCTGTCACCTTCTTGATAGTAATTTTCTTACCACGTGCTTTAGCGGGAGATTTTACTGCGACAATGCGCTTTCTGAAACAATGAATAATTTAATCATTTTAGAAGATAATGAAAATTAATTAATTAATCCTAAACTAATTTTTTAAAAGTTATTAATCAGTTAATGCAAATCGTTAGAAATCCTCCTCACACTATTTTAGGTTATCAAACATAAATTAAATAGGATCCATTTAATTTTAATGCGGATCCGGATCCTGGATCCGCACTGGAAAAAAATGAATCAGGATCCAGGTCATTTCTTCAGATTTACTGAATTTTTTTTTACAAAAAATAAGTTTTCAAATGAGGAAATTTTTAAAATCTCTCTTTTTTTCAAAAGTTCAGATTTGGGTTTTAGGAGTAAAAAAGTTTTTTTTCAGTTTATGGTTGATATTTTACCCTTTGGATCCTAAGCACTGTCTGTAACCAAATGTTGAAAAAAACTAACCTTGTTGGTCCTGGATCTGAATCACTCCCGGACCAGGAGTCGTTCAATCTTTCTGGAACTTTCCGCTTTCTGGCTTTCTTCGCTTTGGAGAGTGGTATTACGCTTTCTTCATCAGTATCAGACTCCAGGCATTGATAACGTTCAATCTTAATATTCAATATAATAAAACAAGATATTCGTATGTTATAAATGTTATATATATATATATATATTAATAAAACAAGATATTCGTATGTTATAAATGTTATATATATATATATATATCAGTTGAAACGCAACAATCTTCTTATAACATTTTATTCATAAACAAATTGTTTCATGCTTTTATGCAATCATCAGTATCTATATATATATATATATAGCCGGCCAAACGGCTGGACTGATTGGGCTGAATTTTTTTGTGGACACTCATGGGGTGTTACAGGCTAAAAAAAAATCGAAATTTTTTTTCCACTGGTAACGCCGGGCCCTTCAGCTAGTATTCAATATAATACTGATAGTCAGAGCAACTAGTGAATAGCAATTGGCCAAGCTGTGAATATTGACTTAATTTTGACCTAATTTTTATATTGGAGGTGTTCAAACTTAAGTCCAGGCTAAGGGTCCCTAAAAATGACTTAAGTCAAACTTAAAAATGACTCAAGTCAAACTTAAGTCAATGCTAAGGGTCCCTAAAAATGACTTAAGTCAAACTTAAGTCAATGGTAAGGTCCCTAAAAATGACTGAAGTCAAACTTAAGTCAAGGCTAAGAGTCCCTAAAATGACATACAATCAATTTAAGGTAAGAATTAAACAAGTCTAAGAATTAATTAATCTTGTAATTAAATTGTCAATTATTAAAGCCATAAAGCTAAATATAAGATTCATTATCAAGTTTATCAACTTTGAACAAGCAAAGTGTAGGACTAGTATTATTAATAACATTATTAATTAGTTTATATGTTATGATTTGTTGATTATTTTAATGATTTATTGACTGATGATTAACCTTTTTCCGGGCCAGTACTCTAGCGTTATCCTGTTCTTCTTCATCTTCCTCATCTTCCTCGTCATGATCATCTTCTCTGCTTGCGGCAATCTTCTTCTTCTTCTTCTTCTTCGTTTTAACAGGCTCTCCCAGTGTGGAGTTCTATGACAATTTAATAAATCGGGGATATATATTTGAAAGATTATTTATACCCATTACTTTTTTATCATTTAAGTCCACAAATATTCACAAATTTCAGATAATTAGATTTAAATTAGTGGTCCCACTTGAAATGCCTTAAACTAAAGGTCAAATAAAAAAAATGTTTGCAGGACCTCGTTGATATATAAAAATGTATTTTACTACCTTTGACTTTTCGCCTTTATTAGTTTCAATATCTTGAACACCATCTTTACTAGATGCTTCCTCAGCTGCTTTTGTAGTCTTCCCAGCAGCTTTTTGAGGAGCTTCTAAACTGGTGTCAGCTGCCATGCAATCCTCAGCTGTTGGCAAGCTATCAGAAGCTTCCAGATTACTGCTTGTATTGCTGCTGTTGGGAGTAACCTCGGAACTAAAAAATATTTTTTTTTTTAAGGGACTGTAATTTAATTTAAAGGGGCTGTAATTTAATTTCAAGAGATCCGTTGTCTGATAATTGAAATCATGCTTATTTTGCTGAATATAAAATGTTCGCAGCCGATAACCCCGGTTACTCCCTCCGTTTACCCGCACTTTGTCTTAAATTAGGATTTTGGCAATTTTTTCCCTTTAATAGTCGACCCACTTAACTTAGAACTTTTTAGAACTTTTAAACCCAACTTTAGAAAGTTTCCGTGGGTTCTTCCCAGTTCCCCCGTCAACCTTTGAGGCAAATAAGTCCAAGGGTGCATAAGTTATGATCGTAAATATAAACAAGCAGACAAATTGAGATTACCTACTTTATTTATAGATATGTAGATGATAACAACAATTACAAGCGTTTCTGGGTTTTGCAGAGTGCTTACGTATTTTGTCCGCGTATCTATTTTTACGACAAAAATAAGAATTTCTTAGTCGTCCAAATTGAGAAAAAGATTTCGAGGTTACCATTATGATTTCTTGTGGATTAAAATACAACTGCCCGAGGTAGGGAACAAATAGCGATTATTTTTTGTAATTGAAATGTGTTTTTTGAATGAAATTTCTATAAAAGACTTTTTGCATTTTTCAAAATATTTAAGAAAAGATGTTGCTTCACGATTCCGGAAAATTAAAAATAACATTCAATTGATTTGATAAAGGATCAAGTTCTGGTCACGTGATTTAAGTTTAAGATTTTCTAAATTTTACATATATGAACTTTCGTATAATTTTAACACAGTTTTATATCAATTTCTCGAGGAACATCAGATAAAACTTTCATGGGTTGCGATCAAGAGCTAAAGTGATTAGCTTTCAGTCTATACCCCTTTTCATGTTTCCTTTACAGTCTCTTTAAATCCCGACTTCTAAAGACGTCCTACTTCCACATTCTGATCCCAAAATTTATTTACTAAGTAAAGACTAAAATAAGCTTGCAATGAAAAGATTTATATTAGTTGTTTTGAAAATTTATTCTTAAACATCGTCTTCCTCATAGAACTTGCTAAATGCGGGAGGCAATATACACAAAAAAAGCAATATACTCTGTACTTGTTCTGTACATTATGGACGTTCAGAATTGAGCATTGAGATTAGTTGAATAATTTGATATGATATAAAGATTTAATGCTGGGAAGAGGGGGGGGGGAGTAAGTACAAGTATAAAAAATCCAAAGTTTTAATGAAAATCGAGAAATAGTTCAACTAAGTTTACGTAGTTCAACTTCTTATTGCTTTCGATTAAATCTTGTGACTGACCTCTTTCTTCTTATCCTTGATCATCTCAATAACGTCCTCAATAATACTATCCGCGCTTTGATCAGATTCTCCGCCTTCAGCTTTCTTCTCCGCCTTCCGTCGCCTCTTCTCCTTCTCCGCCTTATCTGTCTCCGCCTTGACAACCTCCCTCTCATCCCGCACCTTCTCCAGGTGAGCCAACACCTCACTAAAGAACAAGAATTGAACCATTTATAAGGGATGTTTGAGTTAGGGGTTTCCATGCGCAAACACTTTTTTTAGATTTCAGTCAAGTTTAGCCAAATTTTGCTTAAATTATGTTTTTACGTTAACTGTCAGAAAAATTTACTTTTGAGAAAATGCACAACGCTTGCGAAACGTTTACGGTAAGTTTTAGCGGAATTATGCGGAAAATTTGTATTCTTCTTCCTCTACTAAATCAGAGTCCGAATTTAATGAATTTGAGCCGCGTCTCAAATCCTCCCAAAACGGGTTCAACTGAGCGCCGGGCTTAAATCTTGAAACATTTAATACAATTTTAAGTGGAACCAACTGTATTTGAGCCGCGTTTCAAATTTACGCCGCGGCTCAAATTCTTTAATTTCGGCCTCAGGTCTATAGAAAAATGTCCAGGTTACAACAGCAACAATTTATGAAGAAACAAATTGCATTTAAAACTATTTTTTATATCCCTCTTAGCTTCAAGTAGAAGGAGACACTAATTACAGACCCTCATCAAGTTTTTTCCCAAGAATATGACTGGATTTTTTCAAGTTTTGGTAAAACAAATAAAAATGTAACTGAAATACAGTTTTAAAACATTACAATTTTTATCCAATAATAAAGTTCAGATAAAAAGCAAAGAACTGCAAAATAAACAAAACAAAAAATTATTGCCGACGAAGAAATATCTTTTTCTTAAACAACGTTTAATCTACAATGAATGGTAGATGGATGGATGTTCCAGTCGGATCGCTTTACGTACGAGGGAAAATTTCCACTGCAAAATAAATAAACATTTCATCAATTAGCGATCAAATATGAACAAAAATAATTGAATGGTTGAAAAAGATTAAATGGAATGACTAATGAATGAAAAACAAATAAACAGACTGAAGTGACTGCAGACATAACGTCACGTGATGCTCCATTAATAAAGTGGAAAATACGATTCACGACGGTACCTAATAAAGCCTTGTCTGATCAATACTTTTCAATACGCAAAAACGAAGATATCTTCCTATTTACTGATTAGATAAACATTAAGGGGGTGAATCGGACACGTCCCTCTTGAATGAAGAGTCCCTTGAAGGGTCCCTTGTATATTTACCGGTCCTTGAGTAGATCTGTTTTCTTAAAGTCCCTGCAGTTACATCCCATATATGGGCATCTAACCGGTTTATGGTTCTCACGAGCCAAATCTAGGAGTAGGGATAGGCATTGGTTTTTAAACATTCAATGTTTTACAAGAGGATCCAAAAGTTCCAAAAAAAACTGTTTAACGATCTTTTTTGTGTGTCCGATCATAACTCATAAACCCCTAGACCGATTTCTCAATTTTTTGTATTGGGAAACTCGGGAAAACAACGGGACTGTTCTTAAGTTGGTTTAAAAAATCATTGGTCAGGGTAAGACTTAAGCATAATGTAATAAAACAAACTTAACGAGAATGCTATTTTGCTATTTTTAATCCATCTCAAATTTGTGTGGGTAAAAAATCCATTAAGAAATCGATCCCCATCCCTATCATTGAGTAGATGGTTGATTTCTCGTAGATATGTCCACACTTCTTGTTCTTCACGGGATCCACGATCTCCTTCTTGGTGAAAGGGTCCACGGTGTTGTAGTCAGTCTTAACCACAATCAGGTCGTCGTCATCAGAGGACTCTGATCAATTATCAATCTATCAATCAACTGTTCACTCACTCAATTACTCAATCAATCAATTAGTTAGGAAATATATCAGACTATCAATCAATCAGTCAATCAATCAATCAATCAATCAATCAATCAATCACTCAATCATTCAAGCAATCAATCAATTAGGAAATATGTCAACCTATCAATCAATCAACAAATCAATTAATAATAAAATCATTTATATTCACAATAAATAAATGAATTAATCAAGACCTGGAGGGGGTGGGGGAGGTTTACTCTTCTTTCCTTCTCCTTTTCCTTTCTTTCCTCGCCCGCCGTAATCATCAAACTCATCAAAACTTAACAGACAAATATAAAGATAGATGGATAATTAGATAAATAGATAGATAGAGATAGATAGAAAGATATATAGAAATAGATAGATGGATAATTAGATAAATAGATAGATAAAGAGATAGATAGATAGACGGACAGATACAGATATATATTTAGATAGATAGATAGATAGATGTAGATATAGATAGATGGATAGATGTAGAAAGAAAGATAGATGTAGATAGATAAATAGTTTTATATATTTGGACAAGATCGAATTCCTAAAAAAAAATTATAAATTCATGCGAATTCGAACAATATAAAATTGAGAAGTTGTTCTCAAAATTTACTAAAAATTCCTCATTTTGTAAATACTTAATTTGCCCCCCAGAAGAAAAGGTTAAACAGTGCGTTTGATCTAAGAATAAAAAAAAAGGAGAAAGGATTTAAAAAATATATTTTCTTAATCGTCTACAACATGACAGCGTACTGGGGACAAGAAATATGTCCTAACAATTTTTAAAGGAAATTCTTTGCGCCATGTATTCATGCCACTAGCTATTAAAAACTATAAAAATAAATATATCTGGCTCTACTGCTGGGATCCTGCTGAATATTCAATTAGAAGAGATTTGGATCTACAATCTGTATAATATATCTGGGTCTACTGCTGTATAATAATCTGTATAATCTGCATAATTCCCCTGCATTGCTGCTAGTGACTAACATTACAATTTACGTATTTTTGACAGATTTTTATAAAATTATATTTTTTCGGATCTTGATGAGATAGCGCCGAGGTTTACTTAGGTTCACAAAGAAACAATTTACCCATTGCCATTGGCCATGGGTAAATTGTTTCGAGAGGAGGAAAACCAACCACTCAAATTTCTCGTCCGAGCCACCTCGAAATCCTAGTTCTTACAATATTAAGTTTTGAAGTGTCCAAGATAAAACTATTATTTTTAATCTGGCCAGGATATGGCATACAACATTGTTAAACTAAAGAATTGCCATGATTGCCATGTAAACAGGAGGATGATTTAGATGTGGCTCGGACAGAAAAACTAAGAAAATGTGGCTCGGACGAAAAATATGTTTTCAAAATGTATAATTAAAAATCTTACTTGAATCCTGAACTCAAAATGTCGAACATATCCTGTTGGGGATTCCAATTATTATAATTCTGATAATACCCTGAAAACGACAAATTTTAGAGGAAAAATGTTGAAGAAATAGTGAGGGTGAGGATGGGGATGAGGGTGAGGATGGGGATGAGGGTGAGGATGGGGATGAGGGTGAGGATGGATACCTGAGGATGAAGGTTGCAAACAATCCATTGGAAGATCTTCAGTCTCCGACCCAGAACTTATCTCAATAGGTTCATCAGGGTTCTGTACTATACCTCGGGGCTCTAGATAGATAGATAGATAGATAGATAGATAGATAGATAGATATAGATAGATGGATAGATAGATATATAGATAGATAGATAGATAGATATAGATAGATAGATAATTAGATAGTTATATGAATAGAGATATATAGATGGATAGACGGATATATAGACAGATATATATACGAACAGATAGATAGCTACCTAAATATATAGATAGATAGATGAATAGTCTAATAGATAGATAGATAGATAAATAATCAGATAGATAGAAAGATAAGATATAAAGCTACATTGATGGATGTATTAAATATTAATAGATCTAAAAAGATGGAAAGATAAATAGAAGTATGGATAGTTTGAGCTCAATAAGTATATAAATAAACAGAGAGAGAGCTAAATAGATAGATATATGTAAAGATAGCTGGAGCTAAATAGATAGATGAGTAAATATATACTAAAGGTAGATAGATAGATAGATAGATATATAGATAGATAGATAGATAGATAATTAGATAGTAAAAGAGAACTAAAAAGATAGATAGAGCTAAATAGATAGATAAATAAAAACAATAGATGTATAGAAAAATGGATGATTAAATATATACTAGATAGATAGATATAGAGGTAGATATATAAATAGATTGATAGATTAATAGATAGATAGATAGATAGAGGGATAGATAAAAATATAAGTGGATAGATAAATAGATAGATAGATAGATAGATAGATAGATAGATAGATAAACAGAAAAAGAGAACTAAATAGATAGACGAGAGCTAGATATATAGATAGAGCAAAATAAATAGATAAATAAAATAGATAGAAGCATAAATAGATGAATGATTAAATATATACTAGATAGATAGATATAGAGGTAGATAGATAAATAAAAATATAGCTGAATAGATAGATAGCTAAAAAAATAGATAGATAGATTGCTAAATAGGTAAATATATTTATAAAGATAGATAGATAGATAGATAGATAAATAGCTAGCTAGCTAGCTAGAGCTAAATAGATAGATAGATAGATAGATAGATAGATAGATAGATAGATAGATAGAGCTGATTAGATAAATTAGCTAGAGCTATATAGATAGATAGATATATAAATAGATATCTAGAGCTAAATAGATAGATAGATAGACAGATATCTAGAGCTAGATAGATAGATAGATGTATAACCTGAGACCGTATCTTCCTCCTCGTCTGAATCCAATAGTTCCACTACAACAGGTTCACGAGGTTTACGAGTCTTCACCTTTGCAACAATACACAAATATCATGGGCATCCATAGTATATTTGAATTTCCGAGCCGGGTCAACCTAACCGTTCGCAGTTTGTACTGTACCTAGCTCTTTGGACAGGACTAGCCGGTGCAACAAGGTTGACGCGGTCAGACATTATGCTTCATTTAGGTTGAATTTACTTTTACTAAAGGTGCAGGTGCGTGATATATATTTATATTTTTTCTCCCCGGCCCCCTCTTAACCTTAGACTCTCCTCTATTACCCCTCCAGCCTTTAACCCCACTCTTTTGACCAGATTTATACATAAAATTTTGAATTATGTGCGAAGCAGTAATTTTCAAGTCTTAGCCCTTAGATTTTGACTGTTTAGGGTAACTTTGTGCCTCCCCCCCCCCAGGGGCGTACGAGGGGGGGGGCCGCGCCCCCC